TTTGTGGTACTATATTTAATTTATTTCAGGGCTTGAGAATTCAAAGCAATTGAGCGTTTGTGTTAGATTTGAGAATTTTACTCAAAGGATTATGACTTGTTAGACGGAAACACTAAAGCTGGACGAGGTGTGTTAAATGGTTTGACAATGCAGGTGCATAGCTTAAACTCTCTCAAATCAAAATAAGGCTGCGACATGCTACCGCCACACCTTACCATTCCTAACCAAGCTTTGAAAAATCAACATTTGCAGTAAAACATTTTTATTCCACAATAATTGAAATCAGTATATTTTGTCAATTTTTGATCTTAGTAGATTACAGCGGCATGACTAACGTATTTGCGTCTAGGCTAAAGGACCACGGATCGTAGCTAGAGGATTGCGGGTATTGTCTATAGTATTGTGAGTCAAAACTAAAATTTGAAGCTTGAGAAAGTAACCTATTATTATAATCTTTCAGCTTGTTCTCTGATCGAATCATAAAACAGCTAAAGCTTCTCAAAGAACAGTACGAACAAACAAGCTGATGCAGTTTTAGTCAATGGGAAAAATAAAACCAGATGGTATCCGTCTTCAATTCAAACTGGAGGTTTACAGGTAAGTGATACCTTCAGACCTGGACGGGCTGTTTCAATATTCATTTAGAAATTGAGGGTCGGCTCTATTCATGGAGTTGACGGATCTCTTTTTTTCAATATGTGAGAAGGAACAGGTTGCTACTGAATTATGCGAATCGTTCATCTTGCCGATTTGTGTAACCCGAATTGAAGTGAATAAAATCAACATCATTTCCCAAATTTCAGTTGGCGTTATACTCAGTCGATTGTCTAACCTTGAGTACGGTGCACGGTTGGCCATCTAGCTGGTTTTAGACTTGGCCAAGTTTCTATCAACTGCATTTTCAATGTCCATCGAGTTCTACTGCCTTCACCATCGTCGCCTTCATCACCATTCCTTGTTTTCCTGTAAAAAGATATTTTTCAATTTTTATTGCATCAGGACAACTCAACATCATCCTTTGTCTCAAATATGCTCCAGGTGCACGAGCTCACACGTACACCGCGGCCGAAAAACAGTCTCAACCAGTCCGGTGAACGGGGTGAACCAAGCAACACCTTTTATCAAAACAACGTTTAGATCTTGTGAAATGTTTTCACATTTTATGGGTCAAAATTCATTCCGTTTGTCGTAACCTTGAGGATCACGCGGTTACCTGGTGGCTTCAACGCTTGACAGAAACAAAAATATATTTTTTTAAACCAAAGCTGAACTATGCTTATACGGTGCATCCCAGCACATAAATAAGACAATACAATTACATCCATGTAATTGGAACATAGATGCGACTTTGTGTATCACACCCTTTGTACAAACAAAAGAAATGGAAGTGTTTCACCTCATATTTATGCCCATTTACGGTTCCTTTAAGGTAACCAACAAAATAAGCTTAAATACTGCGGGCAACAAACCACATAAAATCTGCCCGGTATAGCCGTCCTATTAAGCCGGATGATGGTAAAGCTGCCTAGCTCCAATTTTGGGGGCTAGAGAACGGTCTACACTGGCAATTATGGCCCAAAAATGCTTGTTCAGCCCAACTTAATTCGCTTGTTCATGTTGTACAGGTGTACTGAATTTCAAAGGAAACACTACGCACAATCTGTCTTTCTTATCCAAACAATGTTCGCCCATGTCATGTGTGTTGTGGTGATTAGAACAATGTGCAAACGATCGGGGGTTGTTCCTCGGTCAGTTGAACTCAACTCAACCCCATAGAGGTATATCCCTAAGCTAACTGTGAAGTTAAGCTATTATTTTAAATCTTATGGCATGCCAGTTACCTAACGAGTCGCGCGTATTTGTATTTCGATTGTTCCAAGGAAATACCTGACAGCGGAATGAACCAACCAACCACCCGATCGAGGTGTAACAATGTCTGGTGCGGTGAAAACTCTCAAAAGGCTTCACCCGTTGACAACAATTATTTTTGCAAAAAAGATTTCCGGCAGTTACGAAACATTCAACATCGTTTTCTGTTCCCCGTGCCAAGTTACAACTGCTGATTTAACCGAATAGTCTGTATGCTTAATCATTCTAACAGCAAAGACTCTAAGCTCACTGCATTTGTTCCCTTGAAACAATCTGCTCCTTGCCAAATGGAAACATTGGCTCTCCCACCGAAATTCCATGAAACATTTACATGTAGGTTACACGTATGTTAAACTCAAATGCACTGTTCAATGCATATCGACAGAGATGGGCCAACAAGCGGTCTCTCACAAAGAACAGAGGGGAAATTTTCTGTCTACATGCGGGTATGAATGACAAAATGACTGCGCTCACTTAAAGGTCTGTGTCCTCCGGATAATTTTGCAATGATGAAATCGCTCAGAGTTGAAAGGCTATTTCGGTCAGTGTTTGTCGGCTCGCTTCAGTTCTGTTTAGCCTATTGCGATTTGGTTATCACAGTAGGAACGCGTACAGCAACACCACGCAACGTCCACGTAGAGAAGAAGTCCACGTACTAGTGAACACCGAGAGTGCTGTATCGAATAGTAATTCCTAAAATCGGGTACTGGGCTCGGATTTACGTTTGAACCAGCGGAATGCAAAGTTAATTTTCACCGAATTTGTTTTTCTTTAATGTGGCATTTGATTACAAGGCTACTTTTTAAATCACCTCAAATGCTTCTCACTTCCATGAATTACAGTTTAATATTTGAATAGTGGTTAGATCAACCGATGATTGTGCGTAAAGATGATGCTTAAAAGACGCGTAGTCTACATAAAAATTACCATATTCCTACCAAAAATGAGAAAAAGCAGTAATGAAATGTCATCCAGTAGCATTGTCCACCCGACATCTCACTAAGCTGAATAGTTAGATAATCACGAAGGAATGTGATATAATGGAAGATAGAAGATCAATGAATTGTTCAATAGGTAATACCCTCCGCTTCCTTTGGCTTTTGCTCCAAAAAAATTACATCAAGTAAAAGACCTTCAACCGGATGTATTGAATTTCAGCTGACTCACCGTTTCTGTGTTTCTTAAATTTTGTTACTGCATTTTATTTACCATAGAATTTTTTTGTTTCACGAAAGTAGTGGCGACTTGGTTGTATGGTCATCAAATCATCACCCCTAATGTCACGACCACCGCCTGATTTGCCCCCTTGTGTGTTAGATGGCAGCCTCTTTGACTGACTGCTTACCGCTTTATGATGTATTCAATCGAAAGAAGTAAAAATGAAAGAGAACAGATAAAAACAGTGAAACAGTTGCGCGTTATCAGCGAAGTAACGATAGAATCGGTGTACAGAACAAAATGTAAGTTGATTTGAGTAGTGGTGGAGAAAATGGTGTTTGGGCACTTTAAATGACTTGTATCCTGTTTTTTGTACTAAACACCGGCAGACGTATGTTATGTTCCTGGATCGCCCAGAGCGAAAGGAAGTACAAAGACCGTCAGATCCGTGTATGTTCGAATGAATGCGTCAATCACTAAATCACATGACAGGACCGATAAAGATAACATCATAAGAGATCAAGATCAGTGACACTATCCGATCGCTCCATGAAATTTGGCACCCCTAACATCTCAACCCATAATCCCTCCAGCGTCGTATGATTTCATTCCTGGGTTTACGTGGTGTGGCTGGTAGCTGATCATTTCGTTGCGCAAACAAATCCAACATTTAGGGTTACTTGTATGGGGGCCGTGCGGTGTATGTTGAAATGTCGTCTAACCACTGGTATGTATGATCATCAGGTATGATTTTTTCACATTCATCTGGGTTATATTTTCTTCGCAGCTGATTTGCATTTCTGATCCATTATTCTGTTCCTACTCGCAGTTCGTAAACAACTCGACCTCGTTTTCCTGCTACAGTTCCAGCAGTCAATGTTTGACGATGTGTTTTGAAGTCTTTTGTTTACACCTTTCGCCAATATTGAATCCACGTTTAGGTTGTAGCTTCTGAACTTCCATTAGTGCCATACAACTATCATTTGCGAGTAGCTTAGGGAGCATCATTTCCTGTTTTATCCTCGTTCTTCTCCCAGGCAATCATTCAGTGGGTGATACAACGCTTGGCACATTTTGATTTGGGGTGATTCTGTAGTTTAAAAAAATGGGTCAATAACCCTGTCTGTTTACCTACTGACCATTGGCACCCCTAAAACATTCCGCGAGGTCAACAATAGTTCCATTTAAAGTGAACCAGACAGAATTCCTGTGAACAACAAATACCGATAAAGCCAAATTAAGAACAGTGTTCAGTATATACGAAATAAAACATTTTTGATAATTTACCAAATGAGCAAAAACTATTTCTTCTAACTAATACAGGCCAGTTGACTAGTTATGAAAAATTAGCTCGTTTCTGCCAGACTTTGTTTTTAGTTTACCACTGTTGCCACATTTGTACCATGAATCCATAAGTAGGTGCTTTATTCTCAATTGTTAAGAAACAGTTTTCACTACTGGCCTAACAACTTCAAGGGAGCTTGTGTGTTTGTGTATCTTCCGAATTCCGTTAAGCTGGCTGTTGTGCATCCTGTTTTTCAATGGTAGCTGTAACTTAGCGGAACAGCATCTGTTTGATTATGCTATTCTGTATAAATTTGACAGAGTGTACAAATTGACTAAGCGCCATGAATAGAATTGTAGAAATCTCGAATGAATGAATCGGTTTTAATAAAGAAATACACCAAAGTGGATTTATCATGCATGGTCAGTAGTGGTAGAATATAAGATATTTGACACAAAATCTTTTTTCATCGCTCCGTCATTGTCTGGAAATCAACCTGAGCTTCAAATGTGCTCACCATCAATCACCAGCTGCTTCCAACCCAGAAATACAACGATTGGTTGATCAACCCTAAGCCAATCGGAAACGAATGAAGGATATAGAAAACTTGACAACTTTACCGTTGACCAAAGCTCAACGCTCAGTCTCCCACAACAACTACAGACCATAGATGTATTTGCTGAGTCTGATGATAAGAAACCAAGCGACCATTTATATCCTTTGTCTATTAGGCGTGCTGCTTCGCCAACGTGAAGCAGTCTGTCCGGTGGATTTTTTGGACGCGGGAGGTGTGTGTTTACTTCGTGTAGCACGTGGGGTAACATACTATGAGGCGCATCAAATCTGTGAGCAGGAGGGTCAAAAACGCGGTCTACGACTATTTATACCCGGACGAAACGCACCAAAAATGTGCTCGTATTTCTCCAATTTGATCGTATTCACTGGATATCATGCTTTATTGAATCGCTCTGTGAATCTTCGGGCCGGCTGGCGAGTTACCGATCCGGGTTACGCCAGATTTGTCACAACAGCCTCGGATACTACTATCCAGTGGTCAGGTGCAGAACCAAACAATCAGTTGGAGGCAATTTCCCAATTTAGGTACCGCTTACATATTGATGACACTCCTGAAGCCCGCAATGCAACTGATGTCATTTGCGAAATTTCCTCCCGTTCGCCCCAGGACGGTCTGGAACGATTTGAGAAAAACTGGCCGTACCAGTTGAATTCACTTTTTCTTCAAGACAGCTCCATTGCTGGCAGCTTTCAAACCTATGCCGCGCTGACTTTGTTCACATGCGTTTTACGGTACGTCAGCAGATAATTATTGGTTAATTTCTTCTTCAAATTATTCTGAATATTTTTATTATCCGTATCAGTGACTGTAAAAGACAGAAGTGATATTCAACATCAATGTCACTTGGTCTTATTGCACCGTGATCGCACATTTAAACAAGCACGTCAAACAAATAAACACGAATTGATATGAGCCATTGGAACGAAATGTAAGACAAGTCAGTGGTATAATGCACGTTTGGTTAATAGTTTAGTCCAAGTTAGATAACACATTTGTTAATACGTTATGACGTTTGACAAGTTGAAAAACGCTGAGAAGTGAACGTTATAGTGAACGGCGAGGGAGGGCAGGACATAGCACCAAACGATAGGGCAATATCGGTTTTGACGCAACCACAAGCAGGGTAACAACAGATGCATCACCACTCTCTTGCAAGGTTCAATGCGCCTCTCAAGATGCGAGTAAATGTAAACTGTGTTAAGAATTGAAACAACTTTTTCCCCATAATGAACCTGAATAGAGAGTAAGATAGGTTTGCTTTGCACAATTTGTATCCGAATATATATTTCGCTGTATCTCATCCGGTGCATACTATAAATTATATCATACTCAAGAACACAATAGATTGATAATTAAATTGAGAAAAATGTCCCATAGTGGGTGGTCAACTTTGTTAACCAATGGGGAACAGGACTGTTTGACCCCAACAAAATACCATCCCGTTATTTTCTTACAGAAATGTGGTTATATTGGCTTGAGAAGGAACTCTTCGAAAACATTTGTTCACCTACGATCTCTTCTTCAATTACGTCACTGGAATTATCATGTGATATATTTGCATATATGTATATGTATTGTGTATATCCTGTTAACCCAACTGAATAGGGGATTAAGAAAAACACTAGGGGGACATCAGTAGGTTATCCAAGCTGATGAACTGATGTTTGATGTAGAGTGCATTAAACCAAGTTAACTGTATTAGGAAATTGACAATCAATCTGATTCGTCATATGGGAGGCATCAGAGTTCAGAGGCGAATTCAAAAATGCTGAAACTACTTTTTAACCTT